TGTAAAAAATTCTGAAGCCTTGATTTTAATCCTTCCTTGCATTGTGATTTCCTTTTAGGTATATTGTCCTGAGTGAAACTTGGCAGGTAAAAAAATTATAGCAAAAGCTAGGCGTTGTGGCAGGCGCCTTATAGTCCCAGCTACTCAGGAGGCTGAGGCAAGAGAATCACCTAAGCCAGGGTCCTCAAACTTTTTAAACAGGGGTCAAGTTCACTGTCTCTCAGACCGTTGGAGGGCTGGACTGCAGGCTCTGGGATGAGTTGGCGGCTAAGCAGGACAGGCAGCGGCAGCAAAAACACTCGGCAGGCCGGGTAAATGTCCTAGGCAGGCCACATGTGGCCCACGGGCAGTAGTTTGAGAACACCTGACCTAAGCCCAGGAGTTGGAGGTTGCTGTGAGCTATGACACTACAGCACTCTACCGAAGGCGATAAAGTGAGACTCTGTCTCTACAAAAAAAATTATAGCAAAGATCATTTGATTTGATTTTCTGTTATGTCCTGGCTGCTTTCTCTTTTGGTGGGAGCTGTTTGGGATGGGGGATGGGTTACTGTTTATTTGCTTGAATTAGAAATTTGGCTTCTTTCATAATTTGAAAAGTGACCTCACTAAATAAATTACTTAAAATGTATTCTAGGTGTGGCTTTAGCTGTTATTCTCTGTAACACTCGGCACATTAGTGACAATGTTTTCCTAGAAGCTGCAAAGGTAAATGTTTTAAATGTTGTTTATTTTATAAAGGATGAATTTTAAAGATGAATGGATCTTAAAATTAAAAAAATGGAGAGAGAGCCAGGTGTGGTGGTATATGCCTGTAGTCTTAGCTACTTGGGAAGGTGAGATAGAAGAATCATTTGAGTCCAGCCTGGGCAACATGGCAAGATACTGTCTCTTTACAAAAAAAAAAAAAGTAGGTTAAATCTACCTTATTAATGAAAAGAAAGTTACCCATAAATTACTTTTATATTTACCTGTCTACTTTTGCATAAATTATTTTTTTATAAACTATGAATCCTTTTGTATTAGTTTGTATTTGCTTACTGTATATATATCTGAACATATTATGACAGTTAAATGAAATAGAATTCCTTGTATATTTTTAATGGACAAGTACTGCTATTATTTGGAGTTCTGAAGAACTCAAATCAATATGAATGTTAATGTCTGTTTTCATAGTAGCTGTTGTAATTAGGCCAAGCTCTGTATATATAAAGTAGACTGTATCAGTAAGTCTTTAAATATGGTTTAAACGTGATTATTATTTATTGTTTACTGGTGAACAGTTTAAATTTCTGCAGTGGTTTAAGTATATTCTTATAAGAAAAGAGAATTAGGTTACCTTTATCATTTTGTTTCCCTAGTGCTTTTTCCATTTTACTAGGTTCTTATTCTATTATTGAAACAAATCAAAAGAAAATGCTGTTCTTTTCTCTTCAGGCACTGACAAGCCAATTGACAGATAAAGAGCTATCCCAAGGGAGACTTTACCCACCACTTGCTAATATTCAGGAAGTTTCTATTAACATTGCTATTAAAGTAAGTAAGCTATCCCTCTTCACATAAGTTTTAATGACATACTATTTTTATAAGGAATACAAGTTCTTTAGAGATTAACTGAAACATTTATAAAAGAGCAAAGAAGAAATTTTAAGTCACCTATATTCTTTTCTTTTCTTTTTTTTGGCACATGGGGCCAGTACCCTACTCCTTTGAGCCACAGGCACCATCCTCACCTATGTTCTTAATACGAAAATATATAACACATACATTATTATTTTGGATTTGTTGCCTTGTAGTCTTATTTTTTTATAAATAAGCAGAACCTCTGTAAGTTGGCCACACAAGGGACTATAACAAACTGGCCAACATAAGGAACTAGGCCTACTGTACTGATATGTACATGTGGTGCATATCCAGTCTATGAAAATTAGGTCAGGCTTGGCACCCGTAATTCAGTGGTTAAGGCGCCAGCCACATACACTGAGGCAGGTGGGTTTGAACCCTGGCCCAGGCCTACTAAACAACAATGATAACTGCAACAAAATAATAGCCAGGCATTGTGGTGGGCGCCTATAGTCCTAGCTACTCAGGAGGCTGAGGCAAGAGAGTCGCGTAAGCCCAGGATTGGAGGTTGATGTGACCTGTGACGCCTCGGCACAACGGGCGCCTGTAGTCCCAGCTACTTGGAAGGCCGAGGCAAGAGATTTGCTTAAGCCCAAGAGTTTGAGGTTGCTGTGAGCTGTGACACTATAGCTCTACCGAGAGTGACATAATGAGACTCTGTCTCCAAAAGAAAAGAAAATTAGGTCAACTATGGAGTTTCTACTGTAAATACATAGATACACATATACATGTAGTTACCTATGCCTGTTTTTTTTTTTTGCAGTTTTTGGCCGGGGCTGGGTTTGAACCCACCACCTCTGGCATATGGGGCTGTCGCCCTACTCCTTTGAGCCACAGGTGCCACCCCCGCCTGTGCCTGTTTTTATCATTGGTTTCTCACTGTAATTTTTTCACTTACTATATTATGAGTCAATATCAATAATTATTTTCTTTTCTATATAAGTCAATAATTATTCTCACGTGTGATCATTAACGTTGCGTGGTGTTCCCTTTGTTACTATATGTATCATTGTTTCATCATTTCTCTGTTTTTGGGAATTTAAATTTTTAGTTTGTTAGAAATAATGCCTTAGTAAATATGCTTATAGATAAGTTTTTCTGTGCGTTTCTGATGGTTTTTCTTTGCAATAAATTCTAAACATAAGAACAAAAGGTTTTAAGATGTTTAAGGTTTCTAATACATATTGCTAAGTATCTCTTTAGAAAAAAACTACTGATTTACATTACACCAGTTAGATATAAGTGTATCTTTTCCCACACTTCCGTCAATACTTAGAATTTTTTTTTTTTTTTTTTTTTTTTTGAGACGGAGCCTCAAGCTATGTAGGGTGCCATGGCAGCACAGCTCATAGCAACCTCCAACTCCTGGGCTCAAGCGAGTCTCCTGCCTCTGCCTCCCAAGTAGCTGGGACCACAGGCGCCTGCCACAGTGCCTGGCCATTTTTTGGTTGCAGCCATCACTGTTGTTTGGCGGGCCCGGGCTGGGGATTCAAACCCGCCACCTTAGGTGTATGTGGCAGGCGCCTTAGCCACTTGAGCCACAGGCGCTGAGCCTAGAATTGTTTTTTAATTTGTCATATATGATAGGTGAAATTAGGTGAAATTGTATCTTATTTTTATTTAAGGCATTTATTTTACTAGTGAGAGTGAAGAATTCTTCTGTGTTTATTCAACAATTGTATTTCTTCTGTAAACTCCCTGTTTCATGACCTTCTCCCATCTTTGTATCAGGATAGTGGTCTGTCTACTTTCCTGTATTGATTTATAAGGGCTCTTTACTAGGCATATTAAGTATAGTGATACTCCTGTTTGATATGTTGCAGATATTTTCTCATTGTCTTTTGTTTTAACTTAATGAAATGGTTTGACATGCCTTTTTCTTTAAAGTTTTTTATGGGATTATCTGTTTATTTTGTGGAGTCTTTATTCAACTTTTTATGAATCTTAATGCCTTCTCTCCAAAATCATATGTACTGAGTTTTTGTAATCATATAAAACTTTAATCCCTCTGAGGTTTATTTTAATGTATGGTATGAGACAGGGAACATTTTTTTCCTAAGTAATTAACCAGTTGCCCCATCATCATTTATTGACTAATGATCTATTGTTTTTAGTTGATTGAGAATTGAACCTTTGGGCGGCGCCTGTGGCTCAAAGGAGTAAGGCACTGGCCCCATATGCCAGAGGTGGCGGGTTCAAACCCAGCCCCAGCCAAAAACTGCAAAAAAAAAAAAAAAGAGAGAGAATTGAACCTTTTACCAGGATGTTTGTTCACTACCATTTTTGTTTACTATTTGACACTTTTTTAATTATTACAGTAGGTGTAATGCATGTTAGCGTTTGGTACTTTATATTTCTTTTTTTTTTTTTTTTTGAGACAGAGCCTCAAGCTGTCCCCCTGGGTAGAGTGCTGTGGCATCACGCTCACAGCAACCTCCAACTCCTGGGCTCAAGCGAGTCTCCTGCCTCAGCCTCCCAAGTACCTAGGACCACAGGCGCCCACCACAATGCTTGGCTATTTTTTTTTTTTTTTTGGTTGCAGCTGTCGTTGTTGTTTGGTGGGTGCAGGCTGGATTTGAACCCGCCACCTTGGGTGTATGTGGCTGGTGCCTTAGCCACTTGAGCCACAGGCGCCGAGCCGGTACTTTATATTTCTTATTGTGCTTTTTCAATATTTTCCTGCCTGTTCTAAGCTGTATATTGTTTGAGAAAATTTTTTGTCTGATATTTTGGAGTTCAAAACTTAAAAAAAAACTTGCAACCTTGTGTAAATAGTTGCATTTATAAATTAGATTGTGAAATTAAATCAGTATTGAGTCTTCCTCAATCAATATCTCTTTCTACTTAAGGTCTTTTTAAAAAGTCAGTATAATAATTTTGTTGTTTTCTTCATCTGAATATGGCATTTTTACTTCTTTTCCTAAATATTTTATGAACAGTCTTAATTATTTTAATACTTTTTCAATTCTTTTGGAATTGTTGGGTTTTGAATCATCTGCAAATAATTTTTTTCTTATTTAATATACTGTATAGTCCTTTTTTCTCTATCTTACTGTAAATTAGCTGAAACTGCTGTACAGTTTTAAGCAATCAGGTTAATAAGGGCAGCATCTTTTTAAAATACAGAGCCAAGGTGATCTTGCAAGCTAATCTTGAACCCATGGTCTCAAGCAGCCCTTCTGCCCTAGTCTTTCAAGTAGCTGGAACTATAGGTACATGTCACGATGCCCTGCTAACATCATTGTATTTTAAAATTAAACACACTAGCTTTTGATTAATTACTTTCTATCTTTTTTAAAGAAATAGGCTTCTCTTCCTCGTTTACTATGATTTTCTTAAGCATCAGGATTAGATGTGGAATCTGTCAACCACCTACTCAACTTGTATAGAGATGATCATAAGATTTACCCTTTTAACTATTAATTTTATTGTTGCATCATTTTGACGCTTAATAATGTAAGCAAAGATTGGAAATTGGCAAAGGATGGTGTGTTCAGGGAACAACCACCAGCCCAGTTGAGCTGGAGTCTGGAGTCTAAGATGTGAGTAGGAAAATGGTATAAGAGAAAATTTGAAAGTTACACTGGCTCAGCGCCTGTGGCTTAAGCAGCTAAGGCACCAGCCACATACGCCTAAGGTGGCGGGTTCAAATCCAGCCCGG